TTAGGGGTGATTCTAATCAGGAATATGGCATGGGGGAAAGGCGCATAACAGCATTTACCAGCTCTATTACCCTGAACTGATTTGCCATCCTTGCAATGGCTACTGCTAACTTTTAAATAAGTCACAGGAATCCTGATCCTGGACCTCCCATATCATGGTTCACTTGACCCTGAGACCGATGCTCCTCTGACATCCTTTGCTTACTCTTGAACATTGTTTTATACTGCGGTACAGAGTTGGGGATTGGAGGTGGGAATATGTCCCATCCTTTTGGTTCTCTGTCTATTGTGGGCTAACAACAATAACACTCATATGCATTTTGACACCTCTATCTTCACTCTTCTTCTTTTTTTTCTTTGAACTTCCTTTTTAAAAAATATTTTTTATTAGTTTTCCATCAAAAAATACATATCACACCACATTACAACTTTCACAAATTTTCTCATTTTTTTTTAAGAATAATTTTTTATTAACCGACCAATCACATCAAATCAAACCAAATTACATAAATTCCAAATTACACAGCCAAATTTTAAAATTTTGTTGGGGGTACCCATATTTCAAGTTCCGAAGGGATCCAATCAACTTCTTGCTTCTTACTGCTGTTTTAATGTCCACAAATCTAACCTTATGATGTTCACAGTACTATCCAGTCCTTTCTTATTATTTTTCCACATCTCTTGTTGTTATTTTCATATATTTTTCCTTTCTCTTTGTGACCTCTGATAGTCTCCGCAAGCTGGTTAGAACAGTTTGTAATCCTGCGTGGATATTATTTTTTTTATCCAGTAGCCATATCCAGATGTTTTCCATATAACATCACTTCCATACATCAAAACAGTCTTAGCGTCATTAATCTTCACCAATCTGCCTCCTTTCTCAAAACCTCTGAGGAGATTCACTAGGAATGCAGTCTGAAAACAAATCCGTTCTTCCTCCCGGTTGTAAATCCTTTGGCAAGATGGCGACTCCGAATTAATTGCTGCGCCATTCCCAAAAGCTCTTATTGCTTCTCGGTCTCCATAAAGCATACTTTTGGTTAAAGTTTATCTCCACACAGACCTTAATCATCCTGCTTGGGTCAGTTCAACCGACGGTTCTAATGAGGAGGGGTTCTTGTAAATCACATAGAAGGAAAGTAAAAAGGTTCCCCCATTCAGCCCCGTTGTCAACATACCCCGCCTTTGGTGTATCTTCATCGTAAAATATTCCTGTTTCTCCAGCCCGTCGTCTTCTTTCGCAGAGGTCACTTAAATTAGCAGACTTCACTCCCTTCTTCACTTGAAATATGTGCATTTGCTTCTTTTGTAATTAATTATTCCAAATTGCTGCAACTAGTGCGCGATCAGAGACAGCGTCCAGGAGAGCCGATGTCCACACGGGGGCATTCTGCCTAGGGCCCTCACCCCTTCTTTCGAATTAGGGGTGATTTATGGGCACAGCAGGCAAGGGCAGTGTTCCCCATTTCCTTGGGGCAACAAGGGAGGCTGCCTACTCCCATAACAGCCTCTTAATTACCCCGTGTGGGTCGGAGAGATGGTATTGTCGGCCATCTTCCAATGCGCCCCCTAGTGGCCCCCCAAATTTTCTCATTTTTGGGCTTCCTTCAGCCTCACTGACAATCATCCGAATTAAGCTTTTTTAATTACACATTTCCTAATTTTACTATTGCCTTTTGACATACCCTTCCACATCTATTTTTCTTTTTAGCAATATTTCTTAAGTTTTTACAGAGCTTCTTTAAATGCCACTAACGTTATTTCCTTATCACTTATATGTTCCCAGTACTCAACTAACTTTCCCCAGTCCTCGATGAACTTTTGGTCTCATAGATATCTGATCTTCCCTGTCAGTTTATCAAGTTCTGCATAGTCCATCAGCTTCATTCTCCACTCCTCCAATGTTGGTACTTGTTCTTGTTTCCATTTCTGGGCCAGTAATATTCTTGCCGCTGTTACTGCATATTGGAAAAGTTTACAATCCTTTCTATTTATCTCATTTCCTATAATTCCTAAGAGAAAGGCCTCTGGTTTCTTAACAAATGTATATTTCAACATTTTTTTCAATTCATTATATATCAACTCCCAGAAGCTCTTCACTTTCTTACATTCCCACCACATATGATAAAAAGTACCATCCTTTTCTTTACATTTCCAACCCTTCTTACATGTTTTGTACATTTTTGCAAGTTTTACCGGTGTAATATACCATCTGTAAATCATTTTCATAACATTTTCCTTTAATGTAGTACATGCAGTAAATTTAATATTTTCATTCCATAATTTTATCCGATCATTAAATTGTATATTATATCCAAAATCTCTGGCCCATTGTATCATAACTGATTTAACTTCTTCATCCTTTGTATGCCATTCCAGCAGTATCTTATACATTTTAGATAAAATTTTATATTCATTATTTATTATTTCTATTTGAAATTTTGAATCTTTCTCTACAAATCCATATTCCTTAAGATCTTTTTTAAACATTTCATTTATTTGAAAATAATGCAACCAATCATATACAAATTCCTTTACTTCATCATAGGGTTTCATTTTCCATTTCCCCCCTTCCTTAACAATCAGATTTCCATATGTAATCCAATTCCTTCTGATATTGATTTTTTTTGACACTCATAACCTCTAATGGAGATAACCAGTGTGGAGTTTTTGGTTCAAGTAGGCTTTTATACCTATCCCATATTTCTATCACCGATATTCGAAAAATGTGGTTCTCAAAGCCTTTATGGGTTTTCTTCTTTTCGGACCATAAATATGCGTGCCACCCAAATCTGTTATCAAATCCTTCTATGTCTAACAACTCTGTATTTTCTAATTTTATCCATTCCTTTAACCAAGAGAGACATGAAGCTTCATAATATAATTTCAAGTCTGGCAGGACGAAGCCTCCTCTTTCTTTAGCATCTGTTAGTAACTTAAACTGAATTCTTGGCTTCTTACCCTGCCAGATATACCTTGAAATTACTCTTTGCCATTCTTTAAAAGTCCCAGTCCCCTTGATTATTAGAATTGTCTGAAACAAAAATAACAACTTTGGCAGTACGCTCATCTTTATCGTTGAAATCCTCCCCCACAGCGATAACTTCATTCGTCCCCACACCTCCAGATCTTTCTTTATTCCATTCCACACTGGTATATAATTATTCTGATACAAATAAATATTCTTAGGGGTTATCCAAATACCCAAATATTTCACTTTCTTCACCACTTCTATACCTATTTGTTGTTGCATTGTTCCTATCGTGTCTTGATCCATATTCTTAGCAATTATTTTAGTCTTTTTCTTATTCAATATAAATCCTGCCACTTGACCAAATCTTTCCACCTCTATAAGTATGTTTTTAACACTTTCCAAAGGTTCTTCCACCGTTAAGACCAGATCATCGGCAAAGGCTTTAACCTTATATTCATTCTGGTCTACTGCAACCCCTTTTATTACCTCATTTTCCCTTATGGATTTTAGAAAAACTTCCACCACCATAATGAATAACAGTGGCGAAAGTGGACACCCCTGTCGTGTACCCTTAGTTATCCCTATTTCTTTTGTAATCATGTTATTGACAATTAACTTAGCTTTCTGTTCAGTATATATTGCCTTTATTCCATTGAGAAATTCCCTCCCCACCTCCATATATTCTAAATTTTTTAACATAAAATCCCAAGATATGTTGTCAAAGGCCTTTTCTGCATCCACAAATATTAACATAGCTTGTTTCCATTCCTGGCAGTCAGATATTCCAAAATATTAATTATATTCCTTACATTATCTTTCATCTGTCTGCCAGGTAGGAAACCCGCTTGATCCTTGTGAACAATTTCTTGTAATTTTTTTTAATCCTCTTTGCTAAAATACTTGCGAAAATTTTGTAATCTGTATTTAATAATGAAATAGGCCTATAATTTTTAACTTGTGTTAAATCAGAATCTTGTTTTGGGATAAATGTAATAAATGCTTCTTTCCACGTTTCCGGAATTTCTCTTTCCTTCCACTCTTCATTCTGGCAGGTTATGGATACAGAAGCAAACCTACCTGTATAATAAAGCTTGGGGGGGGGGTTGTTTTTGTTTTTTGCAAAAGACCCAGTTATCCCACAGAGGCCAGGGTGTGGGACCTAATGGCATGGTCCCATTTCTTTTCTCCACATTTTTCTCCTCCATATTTGCTATGTAAAAAGGGTTAGAGTTTTGGTTTTCTGAAGGTCTAGAGTTATCACTCTGTTGAGCATTACTGGCAAATCTGCACTTAAAAATGCAGAGTCATAGAACAGCCGGAAACAGAATCTAAGCATTTCCAACTTCCTCATGATGATGTTCTGTTCTTTATTCGTCTTCTGCTGTGTCATGCTTCTTAAAGAGCTGCCATGCAATTTTGGTCATGTGTTTTTACTTTGGTAATCGGAACAAAAATGACAAAGGGGATTGAATCATGGTTTTTTAAAAGCAAGCTCATGGAAGAGAGTAAAAGTATCAAAAAGAAAGTTGGTTATAGAGTGCCAAGGAGTGGGTGGGTGTGGGGGAAAAACAGTGCTGTTGGTTAGGACTTAATTATTGATTTGAATAACAATTCACTAACCAAATCCGCGGAGACTACAAACTAAAAATGTGCTAAAAGCTCAAAATTATCACCCGAAAAAAGCAGTATTATTGCGCTAGGAATAGAACTGACTTTCAACATACCGTATTTTTCGCTCTATAACACGCACCGGACCATAACACGCACATAGTTTTTAGAGGAGGAAAACAAGAAAAAAAATATTCTAAACAAAACAGTGGATGTATGATTTTTTGTGGTTCATGCTGTGGCCACAGACATGTGATCTGACAGTGAGTTTGGAGTAGCTCAATGCAAAAATCCTGAGAATCCATGTGGATCCGTGCTTTGTAACCACGTTTTAAGTGGGGAGGGAAGGAAAAGCACTCAAGGGACAAGGAGCACGCGTGGGGTGTGTGGAGAAGGATGCTGCTAATCATGCTATTTAGCAAGCTGAGTGGGGAGGAGAGAGGGACAGAGAGCCTGCTTGCTTTAAAGGAGCCAACCGGACAGGAGCCGCTTACACTCGTGTAAGCGGCTCCTCTCCGCGCCGGCTTTGCTCCTTTACACACGCCGGCACTCTGTCCCTCTCTCCTCCCCACGCAGCGGCTCTTCTCCCGCTTTGCTGTTTCAAAGCGAGCCACGGAGGAGGGAAGGAAGGGGAACCATGGATCCTCTGCTCACAACTGCAGCAGATCCCCCCCGCCACCCGTAGGCATTCGCTCCATAACACACACAGACATTTCCCCTTACTTTCTAGGAGGAAAAAAGTGAGTGTTGTGGTGCAAAAAATACGGTAATCAGATTTCACAGAACAAGTTGTATGTTCAAAGAGTTTCACCCGTGCAAAAGAATCAATGTAAGATGAAAGCTAAGAGGCTAGGTGCCAGCCTTGCTGACTGTGGTTAGAGGTAAATATGGCAGAATAATTATTTATTTACCATATTTATAGATCACCTTTTACCTGACGGTCCCATGGCTAAAATACATAAAATTAAAAATCAAAGTTAAACTACAATATTAAATATACTATTAAAACAAGCCAACATAAATTCCACTTAAAACAGCAACATCAGTACAAATCTGATCCAATGTACTTTTCCAAAAGCCTGAGCAAAGAGGTGTATCTTCACCCAATAATGAAACAACAGCAATGTCATTTCAATATGTGAGGTTGAGGCACAAAAGGCCAATGTGATATTAAATTCTGTTATTCTTTGAGACATTATGAAGAAGTGAGAATATTTCCCCAGCAGCCTTTTTATACACACCTTTTCTGTACAATGATTCCACAATTGAGACTGCAACCTAACCTAAGACACAAGGCTTAAAAATAACCTATGACCTACCCAGGGTAGAATCATAGGGTAAAGTCATAGAATTGTAGAGTTGGAAAGGACCCACGAGGGTAGCTCAACCCCTTGCCCAATGTGGGACTCAAACCCACAACCCTGACCCACATTCCCATGCTCTACAAACTGAGCTATCCCAGGTACTTCTGTATATTTATGTTTATATTATTTATATTTATATTGCTACATTGGAGGCCTTCATCAACTGAGGCCTTCATCAAGTTGGGATAAAGTTACAAGGCCTATAATTTTCTCTTATGAAAGATCAAAGACCAGAAGCTAGGAAATAATGGATGTAATTATTACTAACACCAACATAGGCTCCATAATCCAACACAGGCTTAAGTCCATTGAAATCAGTGCTTTTAATTAGATTTAATTCTGCATGGAATTGTGACCATGTATAACTTCTGAGCAGGGAGCTAATGAAAACCTTCTTTAATAAATACCTGATTCTGTCCCCTCAAATATTGGTGTTTACATTTTCTGGTATAACAAAGGATCTAGTCATGTGTTATAATATTACTATTATTATGTCACAAAACCATCAGGTGGGCATGGTTTTAGGGAACTGCCCTCATGGGCTGGGCCTGGTTCAGCTCACAGGCTGGCAACTTCCCACCTCTGCTCTAGCTTAAGGCTGCCTATTCTGACTGGCAGCAGCTCTTCAGTGTCCCAGGAGAGTAAAACATTCTTGGACGATGGAGATGGTTTAGATCCGTTCCAATCTGGGTTCAGGCTTGGCCATGGGACTGAGTCACCCTTGGTTCCCCTTGGCTGTTCTGATGGAGGACATCTGAAGAGAGTGGGAATTTGGGGGAACCATGTCACAGTGGTGCCAAGCCTACCTACAGGACAGTGTTCAGAGAGTAGCATTGGGATTGCTTAACTCCAATGGTGCAGTCAGTATGCTGATGATGTCAGGAGTGCGTGCAGGAGCCAGGCCCTGTGACCAGTAGGACTTTGCAGGACTGGGGCCTTCCTAAGTTTGTTCTGAAGAAGCAAGGTGCGGCCGCACAGGTGAGGCCGATTGGTAACTCACAGCACCTGGTGGCAAGAGCCAGGAAGGGATATAAGGTCAGCATTTCCCTTCGGCTCTTTGCCCCAGCAACACGTTCCCTGTCTTGCTGTGTTTGGCTCATTGACTCCTTGCTTCTTGATCCTCAGACCCCTGATTTCGTAACGCCTTGCTACCTGACCCTTGGACCCTTGGCTTCTTGACTCCCAGCTCTCTGATCCTCAGACTTGGTTTCCTGACTCCTGGCTTCTGGACTCCCGTTCCCGCTCCCACCCCGCCATCTTGCCCCCGGTCCCGATGTCCCCAGCCGGGACTTCGATCGCCCGTGATCAGGACCGTGACAGATGACACCCGGTTCTGCTTCTGTATAACATCTGAATTAGGAGAGGCTGTGCACAGTGGTAAAATGGATGAGGAAAAACAAGCTGAGTGTGAATCCGGGCAAGATGAGGGCGTTGTGGGTGAGCTAGGTCAGCTAAATCGGTCAGTTGCCAACCCTGGATGGGGTTGCAATCTCTCTGAAGGAGCAGGTTCTCAGCCTAGAGGTGCTTATCAGTCCTGTTTTGTCATTGGAGGCCCAGATGTTAAGAAATGAATGGGATAAAGAATTGGAGGTTCCTATATTGCCTAGAGTCTAGACGATGGGATAGTGTTTTCACTTCTATAGCAAAGGTGTCAGTGGACCTTAAATTACGACTTAGACGATAGAAAAAAATATTTAGAATTTATTGGAAAAGTAATAAGAACAATGCTTCTTTAAGCACATGTTTTTACCTATACTTACTAAATTTCGTGAGAAAGTAGTAGATTATATTAATATGATTGTGTGAAAAAAGATAGGATTTTCAGAGTATATTATAATATTATAATATACATACCTACCATATGGAATTTGACGGTGCAGAATGAGACCCTGTCAACATTTGACAACTCTATTCAGAGAGCTGTACTGGTTGCCAGTTTTCTACCGGGCCAAGTTCAGGGTGTTACTATTGGTATATGAAGTCTTTGATAGCTTGGGACCAGTTTACTTGTGAGATCACCACTCAGCCTTTTTGCTCTGCAGGACTGGCGCTGTTACGCTTGCCACATAATACTTGTTCTGCATTTTTAAGAAATTGATATTTTAGTGTGACAACACCCCCATTTTGGAACTCCCTGCCTATGGCCATCAAGCAGGCACCTTCACCGTGCTCTTTTTGGTGCCTGTTTAAAACCTTTTTGTTTAGAAAAGTATATCCAGACATGTGTTTTAATCTGATTTTTAGCTTATCACTAATTTCAATTATTTTAAAATGTTTTAAATGGTTGGTTTTAACTGCTTTTTACTGTTAATTTTACTGCTTTCTTCTTTTCGTAAACCACATTATTATTATTGTTATGTCATTTTATACCCTGCCTTGTTTCCTGATGGGACTCAAGGCAGCATACAGAGAAGAACAAGAACTGCTGAAAGCATAGAAAAATCAATCATTAAAAAAAAATTAAACATTGATAAAATCAAAACTATATACACATATAAAATCTGTTTAAAACATACCAATCATTACAATAAAAACAGCACGGCTTTGAGGTATAATTACAATCAAGTGGTATATAAATATTGTGAAATATATATATATATTTAAATTACCCTCTGCTACTCTAATTCTGGCTCTGGTTTTCAGTTTTGGGGAGATTACAGAGAAAGGGGCTGCTTGGGGCTTGCCAGGCTTCTCTCATCCTCTCTTGAGAGGTGTAGTTTCTGTCCAAGGTTGACTCATCAAGGCATGACTGGTATGGGATTGACTCCAGCAAGTTCTCCTTACACAAGAAGAGCAATGCTTGAAACCCCTGGTATAAATGGCCCTGCTGAACTTCCTGCTTGAACACCTTAACCGGGATACTAGCCAACTACTAATTACTAGTACGCTGGGAAACAACATTGATTGAGGAATACACAGCCTTGAAGATGTTGTGTAACAAAGGCTGTGTACACATTTCAGACTTAGAACTCAGCAAGGTTGTGTTTTCTCGATTCAGATCGAAGCTGGCTTGTTGGGGGGAAATGTCAACATGCAGTATTTCAAAGAAACAACAAGATAAATACAGGCTCATCATCATCATCATCATCATCATCATCCTTTTATTTGTATGCCGCCTTTCCATAGTTGAAACTATGCTCAAGGCGGCTTACAACATGTCAAGAATTGTTGTTGTTGTTGTTGTTGTTGTTTAGTCGTGTCCGACTCTTCGTGACCCCATGGACCAGAGCACGCCAGGCACTCCTGTCTTCCACTGAGCTATGCCTTGTAGGGCCACCCAAGATGGACAGGTCATAGTGGAGAGTTTTGACCAAATGTGATCCACCTGGAGCAGGAACCGGCAAGCCACTCCAGTATCCCTGCCAAGAAAACTCCATGGACAAAGACAATGACAAGATTTACATAACTACAGACATAGCAGAAGTCATAAACAATAAATAAAACACATCAAAACGTACACAACCAAATGGAGACAATTTCCACATAAATCGTAAGATCTAAGACTAAAGATACAACAATAATATCAATAACAGCAACATGCTCTCTCAACCCCCCATAAACAATACTCCAGCCCAATAATCTGTTCAACAGCCTCAGTTTTTGTAGCTGGAGTCAGTCAGCACTCCACTCTCCCAGGCCAGATGGGAAAAGGCCAGCAAGGCAGGGTGCAGGATAGAAATGGATTGTGGTTTATGTCATGTGTACACTACTTCCCCAAACAGCATCAGAGCTACATGGCAGTTTGTACGCAGCCCTAGTGTCAGGAGCTGCTGGATCTGAATGCGGCTGCCCCATGTGGTGAACTACTGAACTGCAGCGGGCAACCTTCTTGATGAAGAACCTTCTGTCCTTGGACCACTTCCATCCACCCAGGCTGGCCCTTGGCTCCTCCCAGGCAGGAAGGATGATAAAGGGCTTCCTGTTGCAGCTCGGCTTGGCTTGAGCAATGCTGTGATGCGTTCCTGTATCTCTGGTTGTTCTTTGGTCTTGCATTCCTGTGTGCTTCTTGACCCGGTCTTCTCTTTGGGTTTATTCTCTGGTGTAAAATATGGGAAAATGCCAGACTTCTCTTATCTCAGGCTACCAGAAGGCACAATAGAGTTCACTCCACACTGTTGTAAAGAGAGTACTGGAAGGATAACTTAAAGTCGTTGTTACGAAGACAATTACCGGTAGGTGCAGGCCAGTTTGTGAGAGACCAGGGCCACAACATTTGGCTCTGGTTTGCCCTTTGGTCTTGACTTCTCCTTCAGTCCTGACTACTGCCTTGTCCTGTGTCCCCTGGCTTGCTTCAGACTGCTGCCTGTGGTCCAGCCTTGATACCTAACTCCCAAGTTGTCCTAATGTAGCCTTCTGTGCTTTCACTTTCCATGGGAAATTCGGGGAGGCGTGTGGGCAGAGAAGAGAGACCAGGGAATTGCCCTTGGCCTATTCTATAAAGTAGGCTTTAGGCCAGGAGTGGGGAACTTGTGGTTTTTCAGAAGTTGTTGGACTCCCAGTTCCCATCAGCCCCAGCTACTGCATATAATGCATGTGCTCTACCACTGAGCTATGCGCCTTCCCTATAGGAGGCAGCTGTAGCCTTCACACCGGAGATATTTTGCTAGAAATTGTTGGAGAGACGATACTGAAACAGATGTATGCTGTGTGATACAGCAGCACCCTGATGTTCTTATGAATTGACAGAAAAATATTGTGTTTGAGGAAATAATACAATTTCTGTCTATGACACTAGATCTCGGATGACCTATTTGCATGTGCAAATTAACATTTCATGTTAGGATAATCATCTGTTGAATATCTGTGTGACTGCTTTATTCTCAACTGAGCTTTCTTCATTCCAGCTCACACCACCTCGGTTTTCTTCTCCGCTGAATAAATTCCATTGTGTAACTATTCCTGCCTCCTCCATTTCTGAGTTTGTCACCAGGAACCACCCTGCCATGCTGCTTCGTTCTCAACTGCACATGAGCATACATGTCCACACACATATAAGCACCCACTGCTTCTTTGATGGGGATTGCCATCAAAGAATGATGTGGACCAGAAAATGGCCTTTAGGCACATGACACAGTTCTACAGAACAGGTTTGGCGTGAAT